ACCGTCTTCTAGTGCGCACAATCTCACTTGTCACTTCACTACATGTTTCGGCATCACTGTGCCATCCTCAGGTGTGTTATTTACGTTAAACTATTGCACTGCTTGTCATCATATGTCGTTTATAAAATGATTTAAAATGTATATTCGTCATGTACTATAATAAAATTTATATATTAAAATTTGTTAAGATTCATCATCTTATACGTCGTATTTCAAACTCGCGTATTATATCAATCTTCCGTTATGGGAGTCGTTCTTCCTATATTTTATGTATACTGCGTCTTGTGATGTGTCCTCTTGTGGCTGCTTGCGTGAGGATGGCACAGTGATGCCGAAACATGTAGTGAAGTGGCAAGTGAGATTGAGTGCACTAGAAGACGGTGAATACATACACATTATGGACTGTTAATTTACAGTTACACAATCTGCATATGCAAATGAAAGAATGTGAAGAAAAGTGGGATTCATAAGTTTAGAACAGAACTTCTCGAGCTTTCCTTATTCGTGATTCCACCGCAAGTTTCTGCGAGGACTCCGGCTTCCTGCCCGTCGCAGAGAGCTTCAGTCATTATATCAATACTTGTCGTTCAAATCTGCTTAATCTCAGAGACCGATACAGCATCATTAAGTTACTCGTGGAGTGAATTTTTACTCAGTTTAAAATTGCTAATTTTCACGGTGGACATAATAAAAATTACAATATATAATGTATTATTATTATTATTATTATTATTATTGCTTTGTTCCGTAGCCTTTAGTCCATAAGCGAACTATACCGACGGAGCGACCGCCGCTTGTCGGCGAAGTTATTGCCAACTTTTGCGGATAGATGGTGTCGCGTGGTCAGCGCATCGGATCCCCACGGCCGTTAATATAGGTTTTATAGACCGGTTATATTTCTTATATCACTTGAAAATTCTTGTATTCGACCACACAACTAGGTGTCAGCTGTACTGGCGTAGACCTTGGTTCAGAAATACCCCACGGAAAGACAAACGTCGAGGGGAATGAAGTCAGGTGAGCGTGCAGGATAGTAAAATGGAGCTTCACTTGCGCAAGCAATTCGGGAAGCTATTTGCGCAATTCATTACTGTATTGCGGTTGAACAGTCATGTCGAAACCACATGCAAAGACACACAATGAAGGACACATCCTCAGTAGTCCGTCGAAGTGTGTTCGACTGAGATTAAGTGAGTCACGACGACCAATTCGTCTCGGTTAATTGTGAGGGCCTATAAGGCAGTAAACTGAAATTCCAGCCCACATGCTGACGGAGAACTGTTGCTGTTGATGGCGTGATTTGCAGAATGAGACTGCAGGAGCGGATATTTTCTAATATTTATAACTTATTAATGAAAATTGGGAATATTTGGACCGAAGATAGATGAAATGACAGGAGGTTTAAAAAAACTATATAACGAGGAGCTTCATAACTTGTACACTTCTCCAAGGATAATAAAATTATCAAGTCAAGGAAGATGAGATGAGAAGGGTGTTCAGCAAGGATGGGTTAGACAACGATAGGATATTGGCCGGAAAACCAGAAAGAAAGAGACCACTAGGAAGACCAAGACGTAGGTGGGTGGACAATATTAAAATTAATCTTAGAGAGATGGAATGGTACGGATTGGACTGATCTGGATAGGGCCAGTGGAGGGCTTTTATGAGCACGGTGTTGAACCTGCCGACTTCATAAAATGCTGGGAAGTTCTTGAGTAGGTACACAATTCGCGGCTTCTCAAGAAGGGCTCAGCTCCATGAATGAGAGAGTGGAATGTAAAAATGAAACATTCTTTTAATGCATAGGCATACACACAGTTTTACCCACTGCTGTGTGTAGGTGCAAAATATGATTCGTCTTGTTGAGTGAAGAATATAATGTGTAGGTAGAGTATCTGAAAAGAAATGCCGAAGGAACTACACAAATTTATAAAGAGCATGGAAACTGTGTAGAGGCTTCTGCATTCTTCGTCTGGTCTAATACTGGATTCAAATGTTGAAAGAAGCGAAGCACAGACTGTCTAATTATCTCGTAAGCCTACTTTCCTCTCTGAAGTAGGTTAAAACTTATGCCCTATTCGAGAGCATGGAAACTGTTTGATATGTCAGTGGATTAACTGTCTTCTTGTCGCTTTAGAAGAAATGAAACTCAGCAAATTTTGCTACAGAATATGTATCAAATTTTCATTTGCTACAAACGAATCATCATTTGCAAAATGCGACTGAATAAAACTTGAATCAGTGCTCTAAACCATAAATCAATATTACTGATCATATTGCAATATGTTGGCCGTTCACTAACCCACGTAATTAATACACTCAATTGAACATCTAAATCGTTTAGATATTTTGCAACCCCCCTGTGCTCGAGAGCAGGGCCTGTGTGTAGAAAGCTTTTATTCTGAAAATTATAGAGAAAAAGAAGACGTCATTTTCAGTGTTGTACCTTATCTTCGTGTGTAAAATGTAAACTTTCAGTTTATTTACCTCCCCCGTTGTACCTAATGGAATATATAACTTTATGTTAAAAGCCATACTAACTTGTCTTTCCAATAGACATAAAAATGATTTGTAATAGCCCCCAAAGTAAATCTCAATATAATTCGTTACCGCGTTTTACTCTGATAGTCCATAAAATAGGCTCAACTCAAGCAATAAGAACAGGTCTGTACCAACTACACCGCTCTTACTGAGTTTGTGTATGATTCTTTTAACGTCTTGTCAGCATCTTAGGCTATAAACACTCGAATAATTGGACGGTTAGAGCGAAAAATAATGAATTATGAACTAGAAAATATTCGGAAGATAGTGGTCGTGGCCTAACTTGAGTTAATATCCCAGTTCTTGTCTGGAGGGACTGAAGAAAAGCCCAAAAACCTTAGTCACGACAGCCGGTGTCCAGACCGAGATTCGAATCCGCACCTTCCGAATACAAGTCAGAAGATTTACCACTTCAGGCAACTCCTGTCGCAGAGTTTCATAACCGTCTCTAGGGAATTTCATTGGAAGGGGTCCTAAATTGAGACACTGGATATAGTCTCTTAACATTAGGTCTAAATTTGTCCCTACGCTTAATTAAGCACTATTCCATGAAGACGTATAAAGGAGTGGAGGTATAGACCCACGTTTTCTTGACCTTGACATTAGATAGAGGTGAGTGGTCAACTTGACGCCCCTGTCGCTTTACCCCAGGGGAGAGAACCCCCGGTACCCATTGAATAGCAGGTCGGATGGACCCAGAGCCGGTCTGAACGACGTGGAGAAGAGAACATTCTTGACACTACCGAGACTAGAACTCCGATCCCTCTGTCGTCCGGCCC